GCGAATGTGCGTTTGGGTGTTCGAGAGTGTTGTGTTTTCGCTTGTGCGTCTGTGTTTACTGGCACGATGTGTATGTGTTTGTGGATGCGTCTAAAAATAAATGTATTTGTGAGAAAAAAAAAAAAACTGGTTTTTATGTAAGTGTTCATGAAAATAATGCTTAAGTGTATGTGTGTGTGTTGTTGCGTGTGTGTTGTGTGTGTTTGTTGTGCGTGTGTGTTGTGCGTGTGCGAGAGCTTAGTTGTGCTAGTTTTTTGATTTTCAATCAGGCGTGAAAGCCGGTGGAAAATGTGATTGATTGTTTGTGGAAGTGGAGGATAGCAGTGGCAGTTATATGACGTTTCTTAAGAAAAATTATTTCCAACTAACAACTTTTCTAATAATAAATTTTAGCAGGTGCAAAGTTGAAGTCTTATTGAGTTAAAAAAAATTTGATGTTACGTACAAGCATTTCATTTGCATAGAAAATATATCAATTTAGCAATTATAATTTCAATATCATTTATCAATTAACTTAATTTAAATGCATTAAAATATTTATGAAATGTTAAGAAAAACACCTTTTGTTTGTTGGTAGAAAAATTATATTTAAAAGTTAATATGCACACACCACTCTTATTATATTTAAAAGTTTTTTCCAAAGTTTTTTTAAAACTTTCCTCAAGGAGATGAACATTTTCATCTAGCAAAAGTTTTAAAAGACTTTCATCAACACATTTCAATTATTAAAATTGATTTTTTTTAATATTTTGTCAGAACTTTAAATGAATCCTTTAGAGCATTATATAAAATAAGTTAAAAAAGTTCAACAAGCAACTGATTTCGTAAAAACATTGAAGACAATATCAACAGATTTAAACTCAGAATATCTTAATACAAAACGCTTACATACTTTTGAAACATTTTATTGAAATGGAATTTGTTATTTTGGGTGACCAAGATATAGATAAATTGTTGGTTGTCATCTGCACATGTGCATAGCATACACACGTTTGTCGTTGTACAGACATAAATACTCACTCGTTTTTTGCGCGTGTACACATGAACAATTCTTTAAAAACGAGCTGTTTCTGTTCCGTTTACGCTGTACGTTGTGAGGGCCAGGATCTATTTTAGCTGATGCCAACATTCTTTTTAGATATTTAACGGAATAAAATGATTTGTTGAGAAAAATTGGCCTCACAAATTGCGCATTGTTCGCCAATGTTTGTAATGAAATAATACAAATGTAAATAAATATAAAAACAACATTAGCATTTACCTCAACTAAAATAATTATAAAAGATTCTAACAAATGATTCATATTTGTATAACCACAATTTTTTTGTTAACTGGTTAGCTCCACAAATTGTCCAACTCAAATAGTTAAAAATTGTTGCATGTTTTGTTACGTCATCGGCATACATATCATATATACCGTGGCTTGCAGACACGTCACATACATCCCTGGTGACATACTCATCACATAAACATCACATAAACATACATCTCATAATTATTCTATAAACATCACATACACATCACATAAACATCACGCACGCATTACCTGCACATCGCATACACACACTGACTGGCATACATATCATACACAGTGCTCTCTCTCTCTCTCCGGTGGTTTGAAGCGACTTAATAGGCTGCGCCAAGAATGAAGACAAGATTTCTCAGAGCGACACGTCAAATTGTGCAAGTTTATGTCCGCTGGCAGGACAGGTCAAGCATATCTTCACTGTTCGTTTTGTTTGGAGGGAAGAAATTTTTGCAGTTCTTATTAAAATTTTTTCATTTTTCTTTATTGGCTCATTTGATGGATGTACATTTTTAATGACTTCAGCTTGAACGGGTTTTAATATCGTGTCTGGAATTTTTTGTTGTAGGCTATGTGAGAATTAATTGAAAATGGCAAAAAGTTGTTTTCGACGCTTGATGCTTTTCCAGCTTTCCAACTGTATTAGAGTAACAGATTACTTAACTTACTTACACTGAGTTGAATACATATTTAAACACAAAAACCAAACGTGAAACAAAATGGAACAAAATAATAATAATCACACAAACTCATATTTCAATAAGCTCACAAATTACAAACAAAATCAAATAATTTTCATGATCGGAAAATTTTCGAAATTTTTTTTTTAATAATCACAGGCTTCCCCACATAAACAATTTTCAACTCATAAACGGCGATGACCTACATTCATTTTTTGTTAGCCTTGTATCTTCATCCTGTAAGAACTCTGAAAATTGTGAAACTTTGAAACATGAGGTATCCTTACAGCACAAAATCTTTTTTATGTTTTCAAAATACAATCTCACATGTAAATATAGGAATCTGTGATTAATTGAAATGTTTTTAGGTTAGCAGACAGGTTTTATGTTTTTATTTTCATTTCTTGAATTTTGCCAAAAATTTCTTCCTTCAACAAAAAACAATGTTTATGATGATTGTGCAAAAATTCAATTCTCAATGCAGAAGAGGCAAAAATATAAAGAAAGCTTCTGATGTAAAGTCGATAATAATAAAAGATGCAACTGAAAAACGAAGCGACGATGACTGGGCTCTTTTTACAAAATTGTTGTTTCATAGGGTGAAAAAACGTATTTCGTTAAATTTATATACGAATGCTCTTGCAATTTATTCAAACTTTTTTTTCATTTATGTTTTAAACAATTCAAAAATCTTTAAAAAAATATCTTTCAAATTTAAATGAGTAAATACGTATAACAAGGAGGAAGTTTTGAGATGTATTTAGAGAGGAGGAAAGTTCTAGAACATCCCATCAGACACAAATTGGAGACTGCTAGGACATAAACCAGCAATAAAAGAATGTTCATCGTGAGTTTATGTGATTGGGTATCAATGAATGGTTAACGTTCTCATTAACTTTTACAATCATTGTTCAACTCCTATTTGAAAAATTATTTTAATTTTTAATTGTTTTCAACAATTTAAATACAATTTTGAAACAGCCATATTAACTTCTTGCAATAATTTAATGAAAAGTTTTCAACAAACATTTGATTGATTTGACATATAATATTTCTTATTTTATTCCAAAAATGAAATATTACCGCACTTCATGTCATCAACAAAATAACGTACAAGTTTATTTGTAAATATTGCGACAAGTCTTCTAAGCGGAGCATAAGGTGTTGTGAACTTACGCAGCTGCACCCTCTCTAGCATGCGAAGTACGTTCATAACGTGAATGCAATCGTGTCATAGAGTGCAATCAGGCGGTTTATGATTTTGAAGTTTCTTTTTCAAGATGGTTGATCGTCAGTTTGCTGCTTAAAAGGAAGGATGAAATTTCATTTTGCATGGTTGATGGTTTTTTATATAGTAAAGTGTATTTTAATTATTATTATTATCTATCTGAATTAGAATGAAATTACGCTTGAACAATATAAGAAATAAAAAGAAGCCAATTAAATGAAAACGAAAATTTCATTTTCCAACTATTAAAATTATTGAAGTTTGTAAATTCTTCCTCTTATTAGTAAAAAGAGACAGAACATTCCTACTTAGCAGTTCGTTGCACTACAAGTCCAACAAATTGACTAAGAAAGAGTGACTATTGACTATTGAGAAAGTGACAAATTGACTATTTTGCGAAATTTTTTTTTCAAAATACTTCCTCAGTTTTTTGTGGTTTTCATTATTCAAATTTACTAAAGCATAACCACGAACGGGTCTCGTTTCTTCATCGCCTATCAATTTCCGCAATTTACATTAGTCAACTTTTCGTGCAATTTTCATGGATAATTATTCAAAAAAGATAACTATTTTTAAACATCAGCTGAGCAAGCTGTTCAAGGTTTGTCACCTGTAATGCTATTATTTATTGTGAATATCAACAGAAACCTACTTAAAAATTATTCAAGAATAATTTTTCTATCACAGACGAACGACTGGTTTTGATTTTTTGTAAAAGGATAACAAAGAAATTTTTCGACCGCTATTTAACAAGTACCTCGATTATTTTTGCACGTCTATCCACGGTAGATTTGCTGGGAACTTGTTTAGCTGAAACACACCCCATTAATTTCCTGCAACATGCAAATTATTTTGTATAGACGCACCCATTAGAACAAAATGGATGCTGACTGGCATTTTCGATAATTAATAATCTTGCCTACACGTTGCATAAAGCTTTTCCATGCAAGTCGATTTATCAATCTCTAATGTGTAAGTAATATCAACATTTGTACCCGAAAATAAACATGGACAAAATTAATTCACATACACACGGGTCATTCTCCGTCAACTTGAACCATTTAAAAAAAGTCCACGCCCGACCATCTCCGATTTTTTTAAAATTTGAACAGTAAGTACCTCAATGTATTTCATCGACAAAATAAAATTTTTATAAAAAAATTTCAATTATTTTTCAAGTTATGAAGATTTTTGTGACAGCATCCCCAAATTTTTGAGCGATTTTTTTCAAAACTTGTACCTATGTAGAACGCTATATCTCTTGAACTAGCCAACATATCTTGATGAAATTTTTTGTGCATATCAGTGAAACAATGTAATAACAAAAAAAATAAATGTTATTGTTTCGAATCAAAAGAAATTTTGAACAAAAAATCTAGAAAAAAATGAATTTTTTGAAAATTTCACCGATTTCAAAACAGCGTAGCTCAAAATCTATCGCAAAATAAATAAATATTTTTTGTTATTTTAGAAGTACCTTATAGTCATAAATAAATCACAAAATTTCGTTAAAATCTGTATTGAATTTTTGGAGCTATCGGAGCTCAAAATGTCAAAAAAATGAAAAACTTCTTTTGTTTGGCGCCATTTTTAACTATGAAGAACCAAACGTTTTTTAATTTTTAAAATTTGTTTATATAGTGCTTTTATAGCTTAACAACATATCAAAAAATAAAATTGGCGTTTGCTTTCTTTGAAAAATAAAACAACTTCAAAATATATTATATTTCTCCTTTTCGCATTATAAGATAAGCATGAGGCAAACGACCGTTTCGAAACTATTATCATGAACACTCTTTGCTATGATGCACAAAGTTAGTTAGTTAGATGTAATATGACACTTTTGCTTTGTTATGGCCAACAGCTTCGCCTGTAAGACTATTATAATGAGATGCTGACTCCTTCATCCTTCAGCCTCCTCACCTACTTTGCTATTACGTCCTTTGATGGCAGTTATACATTACCTATAACAGTCTATTCATATGAATTACTTTAACAAGTAATCATAAATTATGCTTATTTTTATTTGGCTATGAGGATATTTATTCAGCACATCGTTGTCTTGTCTTCATTTGTATCGTCAGGCCTTTTGCATGCTGTATACACAACCGATGTTAAAAATTTGTAAGAAATTTTTGGATCAATTCAAAACTATTTTATCGCCTTTTAATTCAAAATGGGAAAAATCGGTAAGAATAATGATTTTATGTTTTTATGAATATTTACAATTATCGCTTAACATAATACAATTGTTCTATTAATTATTTTGATGATGCAATATACCTTTAATTTATATCTAGACGTTCGTAAATGTTGTGATCCCTTCAAACAACATCGAAAACCTTGTAGAAAAAGTCTTCGAAAAGCAACAGAGGCGCTTGCAATAAAATCATCTCATAATGTAAAACCAGGAGAAATGTTTTGCATTTCTTGTCGAATGAAAATAGGCAAACTATCTCCATCAAATTCAACTTCACAACCACCACCCGCACCGCCATCCTCGTCTTCATCATCTGAAAATGTCGTAACCGGCGAGTCGTTGAATCAAATATTTTTGGCTGCCGGCTGTTCACCTTTAAGAATAAGAAAAATAAGCTCAAGTAACAAAGTACCGTACATGAAGAAAAAAGTTCGCAATGCAGTAGAGTTGTTATGCAAAAAATCAGCCAGGTTGGTTGAAAAGGATAAAAATATTTTTCAAACACCAAAAAAAGTTTTGAATTGTAAACATTGCGATGGTTTCAAAAATATTATGGAGGAATTAAAAGTAAAATTTTTTTCAAGCGATTATCGTCACAGACAACAAATTTTAACTCTAGTCCCACCATCATGGACCCTCTCAAGAACTGCTTCATTTTTTTCATGTTCAAAACATCTTGTTATTAAAAGTAGGAAATTGAAAAGAGAATCAGGCATTTTATCACTACCACATAAGAAAAAAGGTAAAACTATTGACGAGCACACAACACAATCTGTAATCGATTTCTACAATCAACAAGAAATTTCTATCTGCTGCCCTGGAAAGAAAGATTTTGTCACTGTTACAGAAGGTCAGCAAAAAGTATACCATCAGAAAAAAATTTTACTTGCAAATATTAAAGAAATTTATTTTGAATTCGTTAAACAAAAGAATTTAAAAATTGGTTTTTCAACTTTTTTCAAACTGCGTCCACCATGGTGTGTAACTGTTTCATCGCCTGGAGCACATCGAGTGTGCATCTGTGAATATCATCAAAATATCAAACTTATGCTTGAAAGTGTGCCATTAAATCATTGCTACAAATTTTGGCTGGAAAAATTAGTGTGCAATATAAATTCAAGAGAATGTATGTTACACAGATGTGAGGAATGCCCAGGAAAACTGAGCGTCGAAAATAACTTAAGAGCGATTTTCGAAGAAGCTGGAATTTCAATTGACAACACAATCAGTTTTTATCAATGGTCCCATGATGATAATCGCAGTTCATTGATTTCCGTACAGGATACAGTTGACAGTTTCATTGAAAGATTTTCGCAAAAACTTGACGAGTTGTCATCGCATCATTACATAAGCAAAGAACAATCGAAATATCTTAGCGATTCTAAAGAAAATTTAAAAAATTCGGAGTGTATTGCTTTAATGGATTTTGCTGAAAATTATTCGGTGATAATACAGGATGCAATCCAGAGTCATCATTGGAGCAACACGCAAGTTACTCTTCACCCAATTGTTCTTTATTACAGAGACGATGAAAACTTATCTGTCAAAAGCGTTTGCATGATTAGCGACTGTCTCGATCACAATGTTTCCGCTGTTTATGCTTTTCAAAAACATTTAATTAACTATGTAAAACAAAACCTGAAAAACGTTACTTTAATTAAATATTTTTCTGATGGTGCGGTAAGTCAATACAAAAATTACAAAAATTTTTCTAATTTAATTCATCATAAAGAGGATTTTGGATTAAAAGCAGAATGGCACTTTTTTGCAACTTCTCATGGAAAAAGTCCTTGCGATGGAATTGGAGGGACAACAAAAAGATTGGTTGCAAGAGCAAGTTTGCAGGCATCAACAAAAGATCAGATATTGAACGCCAGAGATTTTTACACATACGCTGATGCGAAAATAAATGGTATTAAATTTTTTTGGGTAGACAAAAAACAAATTAAAGATCTGCTAGGAATGCTTGAAAAAAGATTTAGGTCAGCAGATAAAATAAAGGGTTGTCGAAGTCATCACTCATTTATTCCAGACAAAAATGATCAACTTTTGATGAAACGTTTGTCTTCGGATTTATTTGGATACAATTTTAATAAAAATGAAAGTGAAGACAACAATGATGATTACGAGCCGGGTCGATTTGTAGCTTTGGTCTATGATAAGAAATGGTATTTAGGAAACATTATAGAAAGAGATGATAAAAATGATGATTTAAAAGTTAACTGTCTGAAGAAATTTAAAGAAAATATTTTTTATTGGCCTAAAAATGTAGATATTTGCTATGTACCATTTAAACATATTTTGATTCTTATACCTGATGATAACATTTCTTATGTTGGAAAAATTTACATAACTCTTCCTGAAACTGTTTTTGAACACATTAGCACGTTGTATAATAATTTTAAATTGAAAAAAATAAAAAAAATTGACACTTGAAAAAAATTTGTTTTGCCTGTTTTTGAAGTTGTTTTATTTTTCAAAGAAAGCAAACGCCAATTTTATTTTTTGATATGTTGTTAAGCTATAAGAGCACTATATAAACAAATTTTAAAAATTAAAAAACGTTTGGTTCTTCATAGTTAAAAATGGCGCCAAACAAAAGAAGTTTTTCATTTTTTTGACATTTTGAGCTCCGATAGCTCCAAAAATTCAATACAGATTTTAACGAAATTTTGTGATTTATTTATGACTATAAGGTACTTCTAAAATAACAAAAAATATTTATTTATTTTGCGATAGATTTTGAGCTACGCTGTTTTGAAATCGGTGAAATTTTCAAAAAATTCATTTTTTTCTAGATTTTTTGTTCAAAATTTCTTTTGATTCGAAACAATAACATTTATTTTTTTTGTTATTACATTGTTTCACTGATATGCACAAAAAATTTCATCAAGATATGTTGGCTAGTTCAAGAGATATAGCGTTCTACATAGGTACAAGTTTTGAAAAAAATCGCTCAAAAATTTGGGGATGCTGTCACAAAAATCTTCATAACTTGAAAAATAATTGAAATTTTTTTATAAAAATTTTATTTTGTCGATGAAATACATTGAGGTACTTACTGTTCAAATTTTAAAAAAATCGGAGATGGTCGGGCGTGGACCATGGTTCAAGTTGACAGAGAATGACCCACACACAAACACACACACGCTCACATACACGCACACATCCACGCAAACACACGCACACACACACACTCACACACACTCACACAACAAACACACACACACGCTCACACAACACACACACACACGCTCACATACGCACATGCACGCACATACACGCACTTGTATGTATATATATATTTTTACAATATTCTATAAATTCTACCGAATGTTTGGCGTTAACATGTTTATAGTTCGTATATTTATATTACTTATACGTATACACATATATATATATATATATATATATATATATATATATACATATAAAAGAGTGAGAGAGAGAGAAAGAAAGAAAAAAAGGAAGAGCTAGAATATTTACATGGACGTGAAGCCATATAGATTTGTGTAATGTATTCCACGTTTCCAAACATTGTGATATAACCAATGAGCGTGAACTAGGATGAAACTATTAACACGGTGATATTATTAGATTAATCCACGTACGTATGCACACACGTACACACACAACTGCACACAAATGTTTTATAGAATGTATGCATTTTCATATATTGATTTCAATTCACCATACTTATACATATACATTTCATAATATTACTTGTATATATATATATATATATATATATATATATATATATATATATAGCAAAATACAACGTAACCAAAAAAACGCCAAAAGATAACCAAAAGAAAAAAAACTGTACGCCTAACATACGTGTACTCTACGTGTACATAAGACTTGTGAATTTGACACTGATAACATTGTCAATAAATTATCCATAAAGTATACACAAGGACAATTGTACAAATCCAAACACACACACATGCACATACACGTACACACATACACACACTAACATAAGATAATGAAAATAACTATTTTTTTATTATTAATATTATTATTATACAATGCTGATAATTTTTTAACCAAATAACTATTGAAGTCTAAGCTAAAAAAATAATTCATCAACCTTGATGAACAAAATGTATGCAGACGCAGGCAGTTTCCAAAAAAACCTCTCAGAAGGGAGAACTCTAAATTAGGAAATAATGAAATGCCATGTCAGATTGTTCTGCAGTAATCTAACGTAATGTAGTGATGTGATTACATGGAATGATGAGGATGTTATATCATCATGGATATATCTAAGATATCATGGATTGATGAAGATTACATGTGATATGATACAATGATGAGGTTGATAGTATGATATGATACAATATCATGGCGATGATGAAGATGGTATGATAGGATATCATGATAAGGATGATGATAGTATGATATGATACGATATCATGTGATGATGAAGATGTTGGGGTATGATAGGATACCATGTGATGATGAAGATTGCATGATATGATACAATATCATGTTATTAGATAAATGATGATGGTTGGACGTCATCAAGTAATAAGATATAATGTCATATGATAAGTTGAGTGACAACAAATATGATATTACGATGTCTTGTGACGAGATACGTAATACAATCACCTGATAAGATATAATTACAATAAAAATGATGTCGATCAAATATTATGTGATAAAATGTGATGTCATATTAAACAATGTCACAACGATGGGATGTTATATGACATGACATGAAATGACATGTGGTTTAACATGATGTGACTAGATCTGACATCTACTTATTACACCTAAATTATATATATATTGTTGGTTTAGTTGAAGTTATGTCGGGTTATGTAATGTAATGTTTGGCGTAATGTGGTCTAGGATATAATGCAATGTAGAATGTGATGTAATTTATGCTGTAATGCTCTGTATGTTTAATCCATCTAGTCGCCTTCCTGCTTGATGAATTTCTCCTAATGCATTGATGAATGCCTTCTAATGTGTATTCATTCAATGCCTTTCCTCTTTCTCTTTCCTCTACAAAACAGCAGGCATGGCGCGTTTTCATAGAAGAACAATTTATTTTAAAAATATAAAAATTTGTTCTTTCTTTGCTAACTTTTTGTCAACAATCTCACTAATAGCAATCCATCACTTCGGCTGAAAATCATTCCATCATCCAATAACTTCTCCATCCAACATTTTTTCCGACAATAATCCTTTCCATGATGAATCATTTCTGTGAAAAGGAAACATTTTTCAGAATTTTTTTTTGATTGTGTTGCTAGTCGTTTTGTGTTTTCATGTTATTAAGTCCAATCATACTTTTTGTAGCCACTATGTGTGTCCGTGTATTAAAATTGCATTCGTCAAAATTGTTCGTAAAATGTTTTGCATTTACTCGTAGTTTCGTGTTAGGATTGACTGTGTTTGATTATTATATAACTGTTGATAAATATAATTAATTTGATTAATTTTTTATTCAATCTTTCCATTAAGTTACAATAAATATATCCTAATAGTTATTGTATTTTTTTTATTCTGTTGATTAATTAATTAATTAATTAAATTAATTAATTATTTTTCATCAAATTATGACAGTTGAAAAGAGAAGTTAGTAACCGTAAATTTTTATGAAATGAACGACCAAGCAGTCTGTCTGACACACGATAGAGTTAGAAAATAAAAAGTAGAACAAAAACACGTCATTTAAAAGTAAAGTGATTTAAGAAACAGAAGCGTGAAATGCATTGCCAGCTTTTGAAACACTGCTCTGGAAATAAATAAACGTTTTCGTGTGCACATGTGAGTCTAGGTTCAATTGTCTTTTTACTTTTTGTCACTTTTTCTTTCCAACTTAAAAAAACAATTTCTCACGGAGGCACAAAATAGACGAGTTGTTTTGTTATTCAAGTGCATACAAACATACACTGAGATTTCAAAAATTAAATGCAAACACGCGCATTTAAATGGATTCATTTCAGAGTAGTGGAGCACCCATGTTGTTTTCCTTTTATACCCGAGCGCAATCACATATTTTTCTCCTGGTTCACAATTAAAACTTCCATTCTGCAATACGCAATCTTTTAAATTTGCGTTCATCTTTAACTAGAATAGACACATACAACAATGGATTTTTATTTAACAATATCCAAATCTCATATACATTTAAAATAAAATGTTTGCTGGCAAGCACTCAAATGATTTGATGTTTTTTTTTTTAGATTGATATATTTTCAGGTCCTTCTTTAACAACTAAATATTGATTAACACCTCTAGTGCAACTTTATTGCCCTTTGGTTAATCTTATTTTCAGTCAATCAGTATGGTATGAAACATTTTCCAGTCTATGTCTTATTATCGTTGCATATTTTACTAAATTAACTAATCGGATCATTGCAGCCTGTACATTCATTATATATGAAACAAATTAAAAAAAGAACTAAAATAGAAGTTCTTCATTGGTCAAAATCAATGCTACCATTTGATTAGAGATTCTATTTAATTTTAAGAGAGCTTGCAATTTATTAATAATTTTAGAAAATTTCAATTCCAACATTTTAAAAAATCAAATTGTAAAAAAAACAAGTCCAAATTATTTTAAATGTTACTAGAATTTTTTCAGTTGTTAGTTGACTAAATGTACAATTAAACACAAAGCTATAATTCACCAATGTTACTAGGATTTTTCAATTTGTATACGGACAGTAAAAAAAATTAATTTTTGCGGTTAATTTAAATTACAAGTAATCAATCATTTCATCTCCATCAATCACAGGCACACCAGCAGGCCATCAAGCATGTTTATCACTAACCCTCCTACTATCTGTCATCAACATATTTTTTATGCCCTACTCTACTCCACTACTGCTGCTGCTGCTTCTGTTGCTTTCTGCTGCTTTGCTTCTTGCATCCTGACGTCACGTCTGTTTTTGTTTATGTTTGAAAATGTTTGTTGTTGTTGTTGTTGTTGTTTGATGGTTTTCTTGTTGCTGTTTTTGTTGTTGTTAATGTTGTTAGTTGCTGATGAAATTGTAATCATTATTGTAGACAAAAAATTTCTCATGTGACATTTTAACGATACAAACAAAATGCTGTTAAGACTGTTAATGATCATTATAATGATAGAAGCTATCATCATACTATCATGATATCTTTGCAACGTGCGTGCCTTCAAACTTATATACCGCATCCATTTCGCTTTGTTGTACATGTGGGATGGTCTCCATAGAGATGGTTTTGATGATGATTATAATGAGGATGTTAGTGATGATAATAGTGATGGTGACGACGACAATGATGATAAATAGTGATGAGACCTTTATCACATGAAGTGGTTGTACTCTTGGTGGTAGTGGAGTTGATTTTAATTGAAACTCTCATTAGTCGGGGGCAATATAAATCTACGCCGCTTGTTTGAAACGGCCAGACAGCAAACAACAAAAAACATTATA